CATTATACTTAATAAAAATAAGAAATCCCCTGAAAATAAGCCCTAGTGCGTCTTCTTGAGAAAGAATAAATATAAGACAGTGTCTTGGGGCAGCACCTGTGGCTCAAGAAGTAGGGTGCCGGCCCCATATACCAGAGGTGGTGGGATCAAACCTGGCCCCGGCCAAAAACTGTAAAAATAAATAAATAAATAAAGAGTTCTGCACACTTAGCTGGACATGGTGGCTCACATTTTTAAAAAAAAGAGAGACAGTGTCTTATTTTCAGGGAAACACGGTATTCCAAGTGTCCAGTTTTCAACAACAAACAGACACATTAGGAAGCATGCAAATAAATGAAGAGTATGTCTCAATTCACAGGAGGAAAAAAAAATCAAAATTACATTTACTAAAGACTTACTAAACAAACTGATTTTTTGTTTTTTCTTAGAAACAGAGTCTCTTTATCACCCTCGGTAGAGTGATGTGGTGTCACAGCTCACAGCAATCTCCAACTCCTAGGCTTAGGCAATCTCTTGTCTCAGCCTCCCGAGTAGCTGGGACTACAGGTGCCTGCCACAACACCCAGCTATTTTTTTGCTGCAATTTGGCCAGGGCCGGGTTTGAACCTGCCACCCTTGGTATATAGGGCTGGCGCCATATCCACTGAGCGACAAGTGCCGCTCACAAACTGACTATTTTAGCTAAAGGAAGCTATAGGTGGGTGAGGCTGGTATACCCGTAATCCTAGGACCCTGAGAGGCTGATGGGGGTGGGTCGCTTGAGCTCACCAGTTGCAGACTAGTCTGAGCAAGAGCAAGACCCTTATCTCTAAAAACAGGCAGGTGTTGTGGCAAGAACATGTAGTCCCACCTATACAGGAGGCTGAGACAAGAGGATTGTTTAAGCCCAAGAGTTTGAGGTTACTGTGAGCTATGGCACTCTAACCAAGGGTGACAAAGTGAATCCTGTCTCAAAAAAATTTTAAAAATTAAAAATTAAAAATAAAGAAAGTTATGGAATTTATAAAAAATAAAAAAATGAGGTCTCACCAATAGAGAATATGACTAGTAAAAAGACCAAATTACATAAGGAAAACAATTACAAATTCTGGCACTGAAAAGTACAGTAACAAATTCACTAGCAGGGCTCGATGGTAGATCTGAGTAGGACAGAGCTATAAAGGAACAGTTTTGTAAGCTATTGAAAATAAGTAGATTATTGATTCAAACCTAATTGTTATAAAGTTAAGATGTTAGATGTAAATCTCCAAGGTAACCACTAAAGAAAATACTAAAAAATATATAGAAAAAGAAGGAATCAAAATGACACACTAGGAAAAAGATCAAACACAAAAATGGACAGTAATGGAGGAATTGAGGAACAAAAAGGTATAAGACATATAGAAAAAAATAAAATGGCAGAAGTCTTTCTTTACCAATATCTTCTTTAAATGTAAACAGATTAAACACCCTAGTTAAAAGGCCTAATATAACACTTCATGAGAATTTTAAACTTTTGAGCATCAAAAAACCTTATTGCCCAGGCACAGTGGCTCAAGCCTGTATGTAATCCTAACACTCTGGGAGGCTAAGGAAGGAGCAACCCTTGAGCTCAGAAGTTGGAGACCAGCTTGAACAATAGTGACACTCTCATCTTTACTAACAATAGAAAAATTAATCAGGTGTTCTGGTGGGCACCTGTAGTTCTAGCTACTTGGGAGGCAGGAGGATTGCTTAAGCCCAGGAGTTTGAGGTTGCTGTGAGATAGGCTGATGCTACAGAACTCTAGCCTGGGCAACAGAATAAGACTCTTCAAAAAAAAAAAGACATCATTAAAAAATTGCAGACATGGCTCAGTGCCTTGTGGCTCAAGTGGCTAAGGCGCCAGCCACATACAGGTAAGGTGGTAGGTTAGAATCCAGCCTGGGCCTGCCAAACAACAATGATGGCTGCAACCAAAAAATAGCCGGGTGTTGTGGCGGGCATCTGT